AAAAAAAAAAAAGAACGGCTACGTGTTCGTTCGAGGCATCCTCTCTTTTTCTCTTCTCTCTTGACTAAAACACTCAACACGTTATTCACCGTCTTCGATCCACGATAAACGCACGATTTACTATCAATTTATCGATCATCGTCGTTGAATCTCTATCTTCTCGTTTCTCACACTGAAAATATTCTCTCTCCCGTTTTCACCTTTCGTGATTCTCGATCTCTTTCTTTTTCGAAGCTTCGCCCCGTTACACTGGTCAAGCTCTAAAAAAAAAAGACAAATTAATAGAGAAGATCAATGTTAAACCTGAGAGATCTAACGTAGAACAGAAGGAGGAGGAATCGTGCGAAATAAATTTCGGAGTTTGTTAAGAAAAAAAAAAAAAAAAAAAAAAAAAGAAGTGGCCAACGCTCGACGCGATAAGAATTCAGATAGGTCAGTTCCCGAGATACTCGATAAGAACGCGTTCACACGAAAAGGGCACGCGAAAACATTCTCCAAAAATATCCAGACGTATTTTACGTAAATGTAAAATCGATGCGATATCACTGTGGTCTCTTTTCTTTATATCGGCGCGGCCCGACTTTATAAATGACAATCTGCCCAACGATGCCAAATTCATTTTTCCAAATTAAGTAAGCAGGGGTCAATACGGGTTAACGCTCGGGCTGGACAATGCGGCCGAGACCGATCGACTCGATCACTTGCTAACTTCGATAGATCACCGAACGTTTCGATCCTCTTGAACGTTCAACTTTTGATCGTCGACTCGCTTTTCCTTTTCTTCGATCTGTGTGTAAATCACCGTATAAATGAAATGTCAGTGAACGATATCCTACAGTCGCAGGATATTTAATTTCAGACATGGACGGTACAGAACGATGGAAACGCAAACGAACGTGGAGGACGGAACGACGAACAGGCGCAAGATCGCACACGATTCCCGTGCACAAGAAGATCCATCGTAGATCACGTCTCGCGAGAGACGACCTTCCACCCGCGATTCCCTCCCGTTTTTTTCGTACCGTAAACCGGACGCACGCGTTGGCCGGGCTCCACGGCGTCTCGAAAATAGCAATACACTCTTTCTCTGTCGGCCTGCTGCGATCCCTTCTTCGCCGCTATCTCGACCGAACAACCACCACGTTCCCTTCCTACCAAGGTGATCCATGCTCCCCCGTGAACCGAGCTGCCAGCATGTTCATCTTCCAGCAGCTGAGAGGGTAGAAAATACAGCGAAAGCCGGAGGTGCGAAGGGAGGCCGAACCGAAGGTGGAAGGATCAAGAAACTGTCACTCTGTCACCGGAAGAGGTGAGAAACAGGGGCGGAGAAAACAGAAGAGATAGATAGACAGAGAGAAAGAGAAAGAGAAAGAGAGAGAGAGAGACACACACACACACACACACACACACACACACACACGCACACACGCACACACTAGACACACGTAGAGAAGACCTGGAGCAGCCCACGATCTATCGTGTGCAACGATACGTCGCCACGAAATCGCTTTGCGCGAGAGACTGAGAGAGAAACGCGGCGCGGTCCCTCGGATCGCGGACTCGACGAGGAGAACGATATCGAGAGCGTGC